AAATAAGTTAATGGAATATATTTTCCCGATCAATGAAAAATCAAGTCATTTTTTAAGAAAAATAACTTTCTATTTTCGAGAGAGTAAAATATTTTTTGGCAAACCTTATAAATCCATATTCATGTTAATTTGTTTACATGAATACATCTACTGTTTCTTTAAAAGGAAGAAGATTTTGAAAATCTTATACATTATAATTAAGGAACTTAAGGGAAGTATAAATGGAATCAAAGGAGAATTACACATAAGATAACTTTGATTTATTTAATAACAGCTTTTAAAAGAAGCATATGCATAATTAAACTATAATATCTTGCTGTGCTTATCCAGCTTTTGCCTTATAATTATTTTTATTTTAATTAAAATGCATGCAATGGATTAAATTAAGATGATTTTGCAGACATGTGAGGCTGTTCAGTGATATATGTTATGCTTAGTTATGAGTGTCACGTGACTTGTCAGTGCTCACTTAACCCACTTCTCAGAATTGCCTATCCCGTTCTCAAGATACATCCTCTCATCTCAAACAACCCTAGCCATGCATGCATCCTCGCTTAGCATGTGAGTTTTTTTTTTTTTTTTTTAATAGAAGCAGACATGTGAGGGCTGTTCAGGTGATATATGTTATGCTTAGTTATGAGTGTCACGTGACTTTGTCAGTGCTTCACTTAACCCACTTCTCAGAATTGCCTATCCGTTCTCAAAGAATACATCCTCTCATCTAAACAACCCTAAGCCATGCATGCATCCTCGCTTAGCATGTGAGTTTTTTTTTTTTTTTTTTTTTTTTTTTTTTTTTTAATAGAAGTGTAATCTTTCTCCGGATTGTAGAGCATAAAGATCTTTTTATCCTTCAAATGAATATATTTTTTGGAAACTGAAATTGAATTTTTTTTTTCTTATAAAAAATTGAAATCGATTACCATTTTAGTCGATATCTTATTATACAGTAATTAATTTTTTTTTATTTTGATTTATTATATATTAAAAATTGAAACAACTACGTACAACTGCAATTGCTGAATTACTTACTAATTAATTTGGAATGATATTATTAAAAATTTATGTGGAAAAAAAAGGGGAAGTTGATGACATGTCACCATAACCATTTTCATGAAGTATAGCTTGGGTTAGTAATTAGTCTCTGAGAATCTCACCTTTCTGCCAACAAATGGTAACAGAAACCGTGTGGGCAATTAGTTAAACAATTGACTGAAATTTAATTGATTGTCAGTCTGCAACTTTACAAACTCATACACCATCCATATTTGCTTACCTCTACGACAAGGGAAATGGTTTGCCCAATCCGTATTGTCCTTTCTTAGATATTTCAAGCGACCAATATACATGTGCAATTAGTGCAAAAGTCTTAGAAGTCTGCCAAAGCAGTAACTTTTTTTTTTTTTTTTTTTTTTTTTACACCCATCATGATTTGCTTACTCTTATACGAGACAAGGGTAATGGGTTTTGGCCCAGATCCGTATTGGCTCCTGTGTCCTTTCTTAGAATATTTCAAGCGAACAAATATACAATGTGCAATTTAGTGGCAAGAAGTCTTAAGAAGTTCTTGCCCAAACCAGCTAGTGTCATCTTTTTTTTTTTTTTTTTTTTTTTTTCTTTTTCTGTTTTTTTTTTATTTTTTTTTTTCGATTTCACAAATAGTTAACTTCTATCTTGACTACCTACCCACCCATCTCGTTGAGCCTTTCTTTGACTTTGCTTTCGTCTCTAGCATATGACAATACCAAAAGAATTGTTCACAAACGTACAATATTTTGAGGATTTTACTCTAAAAAATATCAAGAGATCGATATTTTAAGGTATATCCGCTCTACTTTTTAATTCGTTTAATAAGTATAAACGAGTATAGTTAGTGATATTATTATCCGTAATAGATTCCGGAAAAGAGGTACGAATATAGATTTTTTGTGTATTTACGTTATTACTGCGCCTCTACTCACCCTTCCCATAACGAATTTGGCTGTATACCACAGTTAACCTTAATCATTTATTAGTAAAAAGATAAAATTTAAATAAGTTCTAATTTAATTAGTTTTAAAATTTATGGATATCATACCGTTCAAAAGTAATTTTTAAAACGGATTTGAGACGCATATAAATAAATCTAAAATGAATACGTTTTTTTTTTTTTTTTTTTTTTTCATTTTCACAAATAGTTAAACTTCTAAGCATATGACAATCAAAAGAAAAATTGTTCACAAACAATAGTTTTGATTTTACTCAAAAATATCAAGATCGATATTTTAAGGTATATCCGCTCTACTTTAATCCGTTTAATAAGTATAAAACGAGTATAGTAGTGATATTATTATCCGTAATAGATTCGGAAAGAGTACGAATATAGATTTTTGTGTACCTGTTACTTATTACTCGCTATATTAAACGAATTTGGTCATGTATACCACAGTTACCTTAATCATTTATTAGTAAAAGATAAATTTTAAATAAGTTCTAATTTATATAGTTTAAAATTTATGGATATCATACCGTTCAAAAAGTAATTTAAACGGATTTGAGACGCATATAAATAAAAAATTCTAAATGAATACGGATTTGAAACACATCTAAACAGTTAAATTCTAAATGAATACGGATATAATAATATTATCGTGGTAAGAAATAGAGCTCTCCCCTTCAAATTTATCACAAATGTTCGGTTAGGTTAAACCCAAACCTACAAGCTTTTGATTTGAGTTAGTGCCCTCAGCTTTACCCACTACAATAAAAATGTATTGTTTATAGTATGTTTCTGTTCCTACTTTTATGGGAGACCATGTGAGCTTGCAATAGCGAAAATATAAGATAAAGATTGATAAAAAAAAAAGAAAAAGAAAACATATGTCCCAAGTGGATAAGTTTCCACCTCGGTGAGTTCATTTGTAACGTTGGAAACAACATTATCGCCTACAATCATATCATCTTAGATTTTGTGTTGTTGAATTCATTGGAAAAAAAAAAAAAAACTGCCTAATGATGGGTTAATATCAGAAATTATGGTTAATTAGAAAACCCATTCTTAGCATTAATATTTAACCAATTTTAAAAAAAAACATTTATAAACAATTATTGCACATATTTATAATTATTGACTAAATCTAAAATATCTCCCAAAATAACAATTATTGTATAATCACTACGTCAAATAATAAAATCTAATTCTTTTTTATTATATCAGAAATTTGTGACAGGAAGTGTGTCAAAATCCAAAAAAAAAAAGAAAAAAGTTAATATAACATGACTTTAAAAAAAAAATTGGCTGACAAATTGACAACTCTTGAGTGGATAGCCTAAAATGGGTTTGGTTGGGCTTGATATTTCTCAGTAAAGGCCTTATCTTAAGTGGGTCCACAAAGAACTAACTGGGCTCAAGAAGTTATCATTGAAACGGTATTGTGTTTCTTTCTCTTTCTGTCGTGTCTGTCCACAGGGGGATGATTGAGTAGTCCACATAATGAGGTGGATTCCACCAACTGAGTTATTTGTGTGTATATGCATTTACTTGGTATTTTTAAATAGTTAAAAAAAAAAATCTAAAATAACTCGGTAGTTATTATTTTTTTTTTAAAAAAATTGCGTGGTAGAGAATAAATTAAACATACTAAATAATTTTCAGTGGCAATTTAAACTATATATTTCAAAGATGATAAATATATATTTCATTTATTTTCGAGATATTCACATGCCAAAATTTAAATGTCAAATCTAAAAATACAATACATGCCAGCGCGTATATATATATATATATATATAAGTAGTTAATAATGGCGTCTACGTAACCTAAATGTATAAGATATTAATTCTTGCTCAAACATATGCCAAATTACAACTTAATTAGAAATTAATTAATTCTCTGAGCACTTTATATATATTGAAATTACAAAAGAATACAAAATTTTAATTTTTCCTTCAATTTTAGCCATTTGGTTGGATAAGCTCAATATGTAAGGTTATGCATATATGGACAATTATTCCCAACAAATATCCCTATTTCAAACCAACCTTACCTAACTTATAGAAGAAAATCTCCTGTTGTAAAAATTGTATCAAATAGAGTCTTAACCTAAGAAGTTGAGCAACCTTCTTCATTAAAAAACCCCCCAAAAAAGCAAAATTAAGAGAAAGTTTTTCTAACCTACTTTAATTTCTGCTTGCAAGCATACCTATTACAACCAAATTGCAGCTCAATTTTAGAATTCCAATTAAAAACACGACTTTATGTAGTATTATATTGGAAAAAATAGCATGGATTATTATTACATTTTAAAAGAGAAAATGAAATTAGGTGACTTGCAAGTTGTGATTTATTATTAAAATAATTATTTAATATATGTTCCGATTAGAATTGTCATTGCTGATCTAGCTGTAGACATGGGAACCTTAAACAAAAAAATTATTTTTACAATTGGTTTAGTAGTATTTTATGTATGAAAATTTGTGTTTTAAATCCGATATCGAATAAAATCCTGGTTTTATATATTGATGATTGTGACGATATCAATTTCACAGCAACAATTTGAAACATATAAACTAGCAAATACAGGATAAGTAAAGAAGGAAAGAGAGAGAGAGAGACGTTTACAAAAACAATGGTGGCAAAGAAGTCGGCTGCTATGTTAACATATTGATGGACGTGGAGGGAGAATTTCATCACATTTTTTATAAACCATATGTAGAAAAACAGTTGAATTAATAAAATTAATTATAATTATAAAAACACTTGCGGATAGCAGAATTTTAGGTCAGTAACCTAATTAATGCTGTCCTTTTTGATTGTACATGTACACATAGTTGGACATAAGAACAAATGGGATCATATATATGTTTGTATATATTACATAATAAAAAGAAAATGCAAAGTTTGTTGGGGTTAAGTTATCAATCTTTGTATGGTAACGTGGCGTACAATCCTGTTAAAAGCCTAAATTTAATAATTTGAACCAGTATATAACGAGGTAGTTGTAAACTGATAAACTGCCTACATCTTGTATTAGAGACTAGTCAATCCAAACTATAGTTCTGTAACCTTTTAACCCATAAAACCATCATTCTTTTCACCTTCAATTATCAGGAATAGAAACCAAGATTTTTGAACATTCACAAAAACAAAATAAAGAAACACTAATGGAGCATTCTATTGTTTCGGAACTTGAAGGAACTCTTCTAAAAGATCCTGACCCCTTTTCTTACTTCATGTTAGTTGCATTTGAGGCTTCGGGTTTGATTCGTTTTGCCTTGTTGTTGTTTCTATGGCCGGTTATTCGGTTTCTGGACTTGTTAGGGTTTGCAAACCCTGCACTAAAGTTGATGGTCTTTGTTGCTACTGCCGGAATTCGCAAATCGGAGATTGAAACGGTGGCTAGAGCGGTTTTGCCAAAGTTTTTTATGGATGATATTGATATGGATGCATGGGAAGTGTTTAGCTTATATGATAAAAGGGTTCTGGTTACTAGAATGCCAAGAATAATGGCTGAGAGATTTGCTAAGCAGCATTTAAGAGCTGATGAGGTTATTGGAAGTGAACTTATAGTAAACCGGTTTGGGTTTGTTACCGGTTTTATTAATTGTGGCAATATTGATTCTTTTATCTCCAGTCGAGTTTCTAAACAGTTTATGGATGAAAAACCTGCTTTAGGATTAGGAAGGTGTACTGCTAATTCAAGTTCTTCATTTTTATCTCTGTGCAAGGTGAGTGATACATATTTTCTTGGAGAAAGTAAAAATGATATCAATATAGTGATCTAATTAGTTAAACTTAATTTGGCGTTATTGGAAGATAATTTATTTTGTGTATAACATGTTAATTAACATAATTATATTTTATTAACAGGAACGAATGCACCCACCATTTATTACCAACCAAAAGCAACATGACAACCAGCTCATCCGCCCTCTGCCGGTGATTTTCCACGATGGCCGCCTTGTCAAACGTCCAACACCATCCACAAGCCTACTAATCATCCTATGGATTCCACTAGGCATTGTACTTGCATTACTTAGAATGGTGGTGGGATTAATGCTACCGATGTGGGCTAAACCCTACTTAGCCCGATTATTTGGCGGAAAAGTGATCGTGAAAGGCAAACCACCACCGCCTGCTTCTGACGGTAGTAATGGTTTTCTATTCGTGTGTACTCATCGAACCCTAATGGACCCTGTTGTATTATCCGCAGTACTTAGACGTAAAATACCTGCGGTCACGTATTCTATTTCCCGATTCTCTGAAATCTTATCACCAATTCCGACCGTCCGATTAACAAGAATTCGAGAAGTAGATGCAGAGAAAATCAAACGCGAGTTAGCAAAAGGTGATCTAGTGGTATGTCCAGAGGGAACAACATGCAGAGAACCATTTTTATTAAGATTTAGTGCTCTTTTCGCTGAACTAACAGACCGGATAGTGCCGGTGGCAATGAATTACAGGGTAGGGTTTTTCCATGCAACAACAGCAAGAGGTTGGAAAGCTTTAGATCCAATCTTCTTCTTCATGAATCCTAGACCAGTTTATGAAGTGACTTTCTTGAATCAACTGCCAATGGAGGCTACGTGCTCGTCTGGTAAGAGCCCACATGATGTTGCAAATTATGTGCAAAGAATCTTGGCTGCTACATTAGGGTTTGAGTGCACAAATTTTACTAGGAAAGACAAGTACAGGGTTCTTGCAGGGAATGATGGAACTGTGTCCTATACTTCATTTCTTGATCAGATGAAGAAGGTGGTCAGCACTTTCAAGCCTTTTCTTCATTAGTTATATATCACAGAGAGATGATATATACATATAATAATAAGATTAATTTAATTTGTTTTTGTGTTTCTTTTTTACATTTATTTTCTTTTGTAAATGGCTGGCTTTATAATTTTTTTTGGGGAACCATTTAATTATTTCTGGAATTGATTGTTAAATAAAGTCTCACAGTATAACTAATGTTAATTAGTTATTATGGTTAATGTTAGTTATCCCGTTTTGACTTGGAATGGCAAATAATTATTTTTTTCTCATTTTTTTATTTGTGGTATAATAGTTAATAATACTTGTATTCATGTGATATCACTATTTTCTCATAAATATCTGTTATATATTATATTGTTTTTTATCAGCAAATTAAGTAAAAAATAAAACAATTAGGAAATACTCTATGTATTTTCAATTTTAAATTAATTTAATAAGAGTCTAACTAATCCAAAAGAAAGGAAAAAGAAAAAAAAATCAGTTTCCACCTGCAACTTGTTATATTGTTTTGGAATATAATTAAAAAATGGCCTAAAAAGCATATGCAAACATAGTAATATTGTTGCTAAATAGCTAAATGCAGTTTACCTAAACAGGAAAATGCAACATTTGTCAATTTATTTTTATTTGCAAAAAAAATTATTAATTACGTATAATTTATCTCTCAAAGAATAAAAAATTAAGTATTATGTAGTTATTGAATATAAAAGACCTATTGGTGCAGATTAAATTTCTTAAATTTTTTTTTTTTTTGAACAACAAAGAAAAATAAGATTTTATTAGTGAAATTAAGAGAAAGGGTAGGAAAAACTCCACAACACCGGGAACTATACCAAAGCCATTAGGCTTTCCACCTTACACCCATTGAATCTAAACCTAGAGTGCAGAGAAAAAAAACCTCCACCTTACAAGAACCATACAGAAGCTGGACAGATAGTAAAAAGCCAAAAGCATGTTTCTAGTCTAATTAATATAATAAAATAATTTTATTTTGATGATAAAAAAAAGTTAAAAAAGATAGACTTTTAAATAAATGGAATTCAGTGTATATATAAAAAATATATCAAAATAAATTTTCCATAATTTGGTATTATAAAATATGGATAGTCCGTCTAAGTCTTATCCTATCAATAAAAACTCAGAGTATAAACAGTGAAATGGTTGCATTTAGGGAGCATCAGGCTGACGAGATGGTTGTGGTTCGTAAGTAGGGCTAGCAACCAGTCCAACTCAAACTCGAATTAATCTGAGAAATTTAGTTCAATAACGAGAATAATTAATGAGAACATAATTTCACTACAAAAAAAACGCCTTTTTGCGACCGACAATGGGTCCTTTTTCAGTTTTAAAAAAAAAGAAGAGAGATGTTTTGTTGAAGCAAAATCCTTTTTTTCCTATTTCATAATCATGCATACATATCTTTTCACACTACAAAAAAAATGCCTTTTTGTGGCCGACAAATCGGTCGCAAAATGGCTAATATCAGTCGCTAATTTTACTTAGCGACCGATCTGCGACCGAAATAGTCGGTCGCAAAAACGCTGGTCGCAAAAAAAATTTTGCGACCGATAGACGATCGGTCACAAATTAGAGACCGATATTATCGGTCGCAAAATTTAAAATCGGTCGCAAATATTTGGTCGTGGTTTAATTGAAAATTCAGTCGTAAATTTGGTCGCAGAAAATCGGTCGCAATGTTTTTAAATCGGTCGCAAATTGTAAATTCAAAATTTTTACTTTTGGTATCAAATCGGTCGCAAATCGGGTCCGCAAAAATTGGAAAAAAAAATAAAAAAATTAATTAATTATTATGAAACCAAAATTTTTTTCCGCACCTGTGAAAATTGACATAATATATATTCTATACTATATATATATAATATTATATATATATAATATATATATATCGACACAACGTGCTGACTCAATTCAAAGAATAAATTATAAAAAATGTAATTTTTATTGTACTGAACAAATTAAAAAATTATCAATTACAAATGAAAAACTAAAAAAGGTCCAAATCAATCCTTATGCTGCTGCTCATCTGCAGGATCCGATGTCGGATCTCCACCATTGTCGGATCTGCCGAGAGGAGTACCTGCTGGATGTGAGTGTAGCGCCAGAGGGGTTGACCGAAGGTATCGTCTCAAGCATCGGATCAGGCAGCCGGTTAGTGGCTGCTGCTGGACGTCGAAACATGTTCGGTCTGTAGCAGGCGCAGACAGGATGAGGAAGAAGTACCAGCACGGGGCTTCACCGGACAGCCGCTATCAAACATGCCGCTCTAAGCTCTGCAATCTGTCTCTGCTGATCGCAAGCTGAGCCCGTATATGTCAATCATCATAGTGCCGAAGTCAGTGTGCTCGGGCTGTGGTGCTCGCCGCTGGCGTAGAAAGGGAGCTGCTTGAGTCGCAGTAAAACTGTAATGCCTGAGACCCGATGCGTATACCTTCCTCTTCTTCTGGCCCCTACAGCCTCGAGATAAAGCGCTATTCTCGTCAAATTCTTTGACTCAGCTTCGGATTATCGGTCTGAGAGGTAACAAATACGCTCCCGAGTTGTAGTATAGTTCTCCTGAAAAACAAAAAATAAAAATTAATCAAAATGCATATTGCAAGCTTTTATTTATTTCGACTTTGTACATGCTTCGCAAATTATTAGATGGTAAAATGTAAATAATTATTAATTATTACTTACATTGAACGCTCAGTGCACGTCTAATCGACAAATGTATTACGAATCGTGGTCCTTTCCGTGTGAGTGTAATGGTAAACACCTCCATGGTGTGATCGGTGTGGGCTCACGACCTAATTCTTTAGCCTGTAATGAATTTTTATGCATGATATATTAATATATATATTGTCCTTTCATTAAACATCAGTTTCTTGCAAAGGGACTAGTTCACTTACTAATAATCGAGCTGTCTCTATAGCAGATATAGATCCGCCTGTGTGTCGCGAAGGTCCTGCTCCATCCCCGCCAGTCTCACTGCGCCTGTTTTGTGCAAACATCTCCCGCTTTCTCTTGAATGCAGGATCCTCCCAAGCCTTTTGCCAGCTCTCCCATATCTCCTGAGACACGCACCGTTGTTTCTTACCGCTTCTTCTCATCCTATAGGTGAAGTCAGCGTATCGATCGGCGCATATCTTCTCCCAGGCTACTTTCAGCATAGCCGTAATGGTTTTTAAGTTTAAGTAACTAAATAAGAATTTGTTGGTTATATTAAGTATTATGTCTGAACTCTACATATCATTGCAATATAAACTTAAATTATTCAAATATAAAATACATATAAAACAAAAATTGCAGATTATTTTTTAAACCAAACCAATGGGATCAATTCTAAGAACTGCATCACATTTCCAATTTCGGATTAAACCAAATGTGTCCTAAGAGTATATATAAGGATTCTCGTTCTTGTATTAGTGAAAATGGAATTAATTACCATAGAAGAACCATAGAAGAACCATGCTACAATGGAGTGCCAGGAATCAAAATAAGTAATTGCAGAGATTACAGAATTCAACAATTAATTGAAAATCTAGATTCTTCTATGACAGGCCTTTTGTTATCAGCAGACAGCAACCAAGAAATGCATGACCTAGCACTTAAATATCTCATACGATGTCCATATGAACTAAAAGGTACAAAGATACATCTGATGCCATTTACGATTTGAAAATTATATAAAATGAGAACCCATATCACTGAATAGACACACATCCATTTTCTATTAAATATTATTCTTTGGCTATACTTTTTCATTCTTCAAACATGCATCAGTTGAAATTAGCAGTAAAAAGTCAAGAACGGATTTTTTTTTTTTTAAAAGTAAAAATGGTGATTAGCTATTTTGCCTGAGCACTACTGAAAAATTTAGGGTCTATTATTTTCAACAGGATCATAATGAAGTTTTAAAACTGAGTAATTCATGTAGGCAACCCTAACTAGTTTGTGTTCTTCTTGTACTGAAGCTATGATGTTACAGTTACAAAAATCGTTTACAGAATTCTAATGTAGCTTCTTATAAATATTCTATTTTTTCACCTAATTTTTCCTCAAACGATCATAAAATTTGTGTTTTATTTAAAATATATACAAATAAATTGCAAATAAAAAAATTTAAAGAAACAGAAATCGCAAAATACCTCAAATTATGTCGAAGAAGACGGGTGGAGTGAGGCGGGCTGGTGTGGCGTGAGGAGGTGCTGCAACGGCGTCAGGAGGACTGGTGTGGCGTGAGGAGGGGCTGGAGCGGCCGCGGCCTGCGAACAAAGGAGAGGAGAGGAGGAGAAGAAGAAAGAAAGAAGAAGAAAGAAGAAGGACGCGTTTAAAGCCCTAACAATTGCGACTGACAAGTTGGTCGCAAATTCATTATTATCGGTCGCAATTTTTTACACTGCGACGTTGTTTTAATTCACAGATAATTTGCGACCGATTTGCGACTAACACTTTCGGTCGCAAATATTCGATCTCAAATCTGTCTCATATCGGTCGCAAAAATTATACCAAATTTTGAACAGCGCAATTTTGCGACGGAATAACCCGTAGTCTCAAATCGGTCGCAAAGTCTCAAATCGGTCGAAAAATCGGTCGCAAATCTGTCGGCAGAGTACGGTCGCAAAAATTATACCAAATTTTGAACAGCGCAATTTTGCGACGGAATAACCCGTAGTCTCAAATCGGTCGCAAAATCGGTCGCAAATCTGTCGCAGAGTAGTCGCAATATGAGAAATAAAATCGCGGGAAAATTTACCGCTAAAATTTGCGACTGAATGTTCTTGTGTATCAAATTGGTCGCAAATTTGAGACCGATATTTGTCGGTCGCAAATATCGGTCGCAAATTAGTGTTTTTTTTGTAGTGTTTTGTTTTTTATACATTAAGAGATTTAATAGGTCGAAATAATACTGCGAACTACGCGGATTTGAGATTATGTGAGAAAAACAACCGGTTCAATAACCTCGTGATTTCAAGAATCCAATAATTATAAATGAGGAAGCAAAATGAAAACCAATATTGTATCTTGACAATGTCCATTGACATGTATTACCAAAATAAGATTGAAATTAAGTTGATGAATGATTATACTCACTAATATTGTAAATTCCAAATCCTACCTTAGATTTAAATATATTATTTATTTATTTATTCTGAAAAGGTTAAATTGAAATAATATTATAAATTACATGATAGAAGTAGAAATTCCTTTTTTAAATAAATCTCATTAAATTTGTTAAAACTTTTTATAGAATGATAAAAACTATTAATTCAAAAGAAAGTTTATCACCTCTCATAAGAATAATAGTCCGTCGGTATGGATGAATTTGAAATGCAGAAGTCATCGTAAATGAATCGAGATGTATATTTTTTTTATTCTAAACACAAAATTTAAATATTCTTCTATGAAATTCCTTTGTTTCAAAGGGAGTAAACTAGCAAACAAAATTTAGCAAAAATAACATAAATTCAATAAAAATTAAGAACAATATGCTAAACTATTTAGGGTCCAAAATTGCGTCTTACATGTGATATCGTAAAAAAAAAACATTTTTAAAACAAACAAAACAAGGAATAGAATTTACTTCCACTACAACAAACCATACATAGTGACAACCCTCAACTGTAAAAACTAAAAACAGTTATGTAATCTTTTCCTTTCATAGTTGCAAAATATGATTCACTGTTATATGCCATCTTTTTGAAAGTCGTGCTCAATATAAAATATTGACCAAAAGTGTTTGATTCCTTATTATTTTTGTTAATGGGTTCATTTTGGTCCCAAATTGGACCATTTAGAGATGGGTATATAATATAATCTGATGCAATGAGACCATTTGCCATTAACATCTTTTGACGTACGCATAAGAATTTTGCTTTTCCATATACTCTTGTTTGGTGGATGGGTTGGAATTCAACTTTTGCTGTATATTTATTTTATGCTTGTTTTGCTTTTCCACTTTTCCTTTTTCCTTGTTTGGTGAGGTTAGCTTTTGACGATTTTCATTTCTCTACACCAATTTATAGAAGTTGTATACAATTTAATAATCTTTTTACCATTGAAATTTGATTTTTTTTTTTTCAAAAAATAAATTCAAATTTACCGGCAAATTTGAATAAGTTTTTTGAGGTATGGGTGGATGCTATATTCTCACCTCCTACTTTTGCCACGGACCGTTAAATTAGAATTTTCCTGAATATCATCTCCGGCTTAAATATAGAAACACGCGTGTAAGTCGAATAAAAAGTAGCAAAACTAACTCCTTATTAGACCTTTTAAATTTAGGTACAAGTTAAAAATAACAGATTTGAAGCTAGCCTAAGACTATGGGTCTATTTGATAAAATTAGCTGTTTTGGTAGTAGTTAGCTTTTTTAATAGCGTTTAGCTGTTAATTATTTAAGTAAGTTTTCATAAAACGCTAAAAATTAAATGTTATATGAGTTAACTTTTCACAAAATACTACTCTAACATCTAAAAGTTAATCCAAATACTATAATACCGCACAGTTTAAATAGCGTTTTAGCGTTTTAATTAAAGCTACTTGTTATTGCGGAACACAACTTATATTTTATTGATTGAACCAAGTCATAATGTCATACCTAAAATCATTAACCTGCGCCTTTCAGGACTTCTTTTTCTTTAATGTTGCTAAAGTGCAACCATATCCGAGCAAAAGATATACATACCTTTGTATGATTGATTGGACGAAAATTCTTTTTTTAATAGGCTAATTATTAGTCAAAACTCAAAATTAAATAAGGAGATTAATTAAATTAAACTATCAACTTTGATAATTTGAAATTAAAAGTTCTATGGAGTATTTATTATGTTTGTTCTTTTGAAGCCAACGGAGGACCTAAACTAATACCTAGCTATATATATTCTACCTACATGGTTAGCAAGTTGCAAGCAGCATGCACCTTGAGTGATATTTATAAACCAAAATTATATTAATTTAAAATAAAATTGCAAATTAAAAATTGGGCTAATTCTTATATTTTGAGCTAATATATATAATAAAGTGCATGTTGTCTAGTAGCTTATAGGTGAGCTAATTGTATATAAGAGAGAATATCTTAAACATAATCACAATTAATTTAATTAGAGAAAGTCTATTTTTCTCTTCTTTGAAAAAAAAATATTTTTGGGGAATTTATTCTGACTTTGAATACAGGAGACAATAAAAGAAGTTTCTAAAAAAATAATTATTATTTAAAAAAATTATTTTCTTGTTAAGTGATTTTGGATACGTCTCCAATGTTGTGAAGTTTGCAATTTGTACCTGAAAATTAAAAATAAATTAATAAAAAAATAATAACTATTTCAGTCTATATATATATATATATAACTATTAAGGATTTTGATGCAAAGAAACTTTAATGAAAGGTGATGTTTAGTTTATAAATAATATTCTCGTAGTGCATTGGTCAAAGCCATAATTTAAACTTTTGAAGACATATTTTGTTCTTTAATATTAAAAAGAGTTATGCTTAAAAGAATAGAATGAAGAATATATATGTATTTGCGTATGAATGTTTTCTTTTTAGATCTAGCATATGAGTATTGATTTATATATAATTTGTGGCCTTTTTAATTTTTATTTATTATTAAAAAAAATTTACTTTAATCCATAGACTATTTCAATTTATAAAATTGCATATATATTTTTAACTTGTAAAATTATTTTATTAAGAATAGCATTTGTAGTGTTTGGTCTTCAGCAAGTAGCTAAGTGCTTGTGGGTACCCTAATTAATAATTCATCAATGGAAGTTTCTTGGCGATTGCTTATGCATGTGGGTTTCACGTGCAGTCAAACTTTTGCCAAAGAAAAAAAAGACAAAGGGAGAAGAGAAAGAAAAGTAGATAAAAAGGAGGAGAGGAAGTCTTTGTTCTCAAAAAAGAGCACAAAATTGCAATATTCCAATACACTAAGGCTATATTTCATATCAAGACATTTTGGAGGAGATATTTTGAAATATTTTGTTAAATATTTTCCTTTGACATAATAAAAATAGAGTACATTATTTTGATTTGTAAAAACCATTTGCAAAAGAGAGAGTTATTAATTTTAAAACGAAATTAATTTTATATTTAAAAAATATGAGAAATTTCATACAGAAATAATAAATTTATGAGTTGTTCAAATCTTTTTTTCTAGTAGGGTCAAGACCGGACCCATGGAACAGCCCATTTTTTTGAGTAAGGAAAAGGGTCGCCCTCTTTTCAACCGTAAAGTTTAAAGGTTTTTTGTCCGTTTTCAATAGATACGATTAAATTGTTAATGTTCAAATTTGTGTTCTCATGGAGATCGAGACAGTTAATATATTGGTAAATTATTCATATTATATTGAATTTTGATATAAATTCTAGGTGAGGTAATATTTTGTCAAATATTTCATTTTAATAAAAGAAAATTTTTCTAAAGTTTTATTTTATTATTGAAATTCATATATTTAATATAGATTTACAAGATTTTGATAAATTTTATAAATTTTGAAATCTCAATTAAACATTCACCAATGACAAAGCAGCACAAACATACAGGGGAAAACCTTTCTTTTCAGCCTTTGGTTTTTAGTTGCTAATATAATGGTTTTCAAAGGGTGAGAATGAGATATTTTTAATTTCCATCCTAATTTTTCCTTAGTATCTTTCTAATTTCATTTCCCCTTCGTTTTGCTTGAATATGTTCGAAAGAAAAAAGGTAATAATGCTTTTAAAAAATATGTACAGATGAGTAATTATTATATTGAAATAATAAGTAAGAATTAATAAACATTATTAAAAATAAAATAAAATTTAATAAGGATATAATAGACCATTTAAAGATTAATTATAATAAAAAAGAAAATAGACTATATTTTGAGACTAGTCAAAAATAAAAGATGAACTATCTTTTTAAAACAAATGGAGTACTTTGTATTGATATTAATCAATGTTGGGCATTTGTTAATTTTCATTTCCATTCATTCATTACATTGTAATAACATATGAAGTATGACATTAAGGAAGTCGGTCTGAGTGAAAACATTTAAGTACATCACGCCGGGTGTTAGATTTTTGTGAGTGGATACAATTTTGCTAAAATAATGTTTCCATTGAGAGCTTGAAGTGGAGTCGAGTCGACTAGAGACTTTTATGGTCTAACATAAAAAAAGAAAATGAAGTATGATAGTATTACAAGTAAAAATTTAGGGTATCGGCAAAATTAACTGTTTTAGTACTATTTAGTTGTTTGAGTAACTTTTCATAAAACATTAAAAACTGAACGTTATAAAGATTGACCTTTTATAAACGTTATTAAAACTTCTAAAAGCTAATTCAAACGTTATATTATTGAACACAATAAAAAATAACGTTTAACATTTTAATCAGTCAATAAAACCTTAGGTGATTATAAAAAACTAATTTTGTCTAAATATAATTATTGATTTTTGGGTTCATATGAGGGTCAATATATGAACTACAGAGAAGGGTAGTCAACCGTTAAATAACATTCCCTCAATTGAGCCATTGTATTTGGTCATCCTTTGTAGGTAGTGTTGCTAGATGTCTTGTGATTATTGGCTGATATAATATTTAATTGCTAATTATATTAACACTACTATTAAAATTTAAATATTGTAATTAGCATTTAAATTCTACTTTCCTAATCAGAAGCCCAGCAACTTGATCACGTGGGAAAACTCTGACCTAAAATTTTATATATTGATTTTCTTAATCCAGGTGATATAGACATGTAGTTTATTGAAAACAAATTCCCATTGTTTTGCCTTGCAAGTTTTGGAGAAAAAAAAATATTAATATTAAATCATTACTTACCAAAGAAAATATTATTAAAACGCCATAATCCGACCCTAATTGTTCTGATTAGCATAATCGATGACATCATAAGATGTGATTATTTATACTAGACAGAAAGCCAGGTCACTAAACCACAAATTCATTACTTAGAATTTTGAAATTGAGAATCAAATCATTTAAATAACCTAAAGCAATTTTTAAATGAGGAAATAGTTGGTCTTCTTGTGAATTATTATTTAATAAAATTATATAAAATGTAACATGAAATAATACAAGTTGCATACATCCAATGATAAACTAAATAAAGGTTTTCCATATTGATAATTATTTTTTTTATTTTCTTATTCATTGTTTTTAAAAGCTAAATGGCCGGAAATAATAAAATTTTCTTACTTTCTATATTAATATAGAAATTAGAAGTAATTTTGACAAAAAAAGAAAAACAAACCAAACACAGCCTTAGTAGAGGTAGGGGGACAATGCGATATGGGCAGATTATGACGTGTCAGATGAAAGCGTGGTCCACCTCCACCGAATCATAATCCTGAGCTTTTAGCGCGTGCCACGTCTTAGTGTTCCCAAGGCACTTGTCCGCTCATAACTTTTTAGTAAATAAAACACTACACATTAGTACTATACTATTTGATAACTTGTTTGGAGAAAAACAATTATTTGACAATAAAAATAAATCTTAATTTGATTAAATTTCCTAAATAAAGAGAAGGTTAAATAATTGTTTAATGTTTAAAATTTAATTATAGTTATGCTTATCTCTTTATTTAGTAAATAAATTGATGTTTAAAACTTAATTTCATTAAATTGTTTATCATTCAATTTAATAAAGTTTAGTTTGTTAATATTTCTAGAAATGTCAATAATTTTGGAGATAGTTAGCAAAGAAAGTTATTGATTCTGTGTATCCTTTTGTAGCTTGGATTTAACGTCGATGCGGTATTGCCGTTAACATTTTCTTATTTTCAGTTTTTACCACTTTACCCTATTTTATATATATACACACCATTCGTATACTTTTTCTCTCGTCCTCTCATTTCCTCCTCAAAATTCTCTCTTTCAAGGAAGGTAGAGAAGAGAAGGGGACACACATAGAAAAGGAAAGAGAGGACTTTTTTGCGATTTCATGTCATCACCCACGGCGTCGTATTGGTGCTACAGGTGCAACGGTTTCGTTCGAGCATGGAGGCAACAAGACGCTGAGGAAATAACAACTTGTCTTGATTGCGGAACCGGATTTGTTGAAGAACTCGAGATCCGAGAAGACGCCGCTGCCGCCGCCTCCCCGTCAGCCTCTACGGCTGCTGCTGCCGCCACTGCTGCTATGTTAATGACAGGTATTCTTCCGAATACAGATCATAATAGTCCTCTTCGTAGAAATCGTAGGAACGCCGGCGACCGTTCTCCGATTAATCCTGTTATTGTTCTTCGTGGAGGAAGTATAGGCGGTGGAGGTTTCAGCATCGGAGGACAATCCGATGGCGGTGAAAGCGAAGTTAGTGGACGTGGATTCGAGTTATATTACGACGATGGAAGTGGTTCCGGTTTACGACCGTTGCCGTCGTCCATGTCGGAGTTTTTTTTGGGATCTGGATTTGAGAGATTATTAGATCAGATATCACAGATTGAAATTAATGGAATTAGTAGATTCGAACAACCGCCGGCGTCGAAATCGGCGATTGAATCTATGCCGACAGTAACAATAAATGAATTTCACACATCAACGGAATCTCATTGTGCGGTGTGTAAAGAGCCTTTCGAATTAGAATCAGAGGCGCGAGAAATGCCCTGTAAGCATATTTATCATTCCGATTGCATACTTCCATGGCTTTCATTTCGAAATTCATGTCCGCTCTGCCGCCACGAGTTACTTGGGGACGATGAAAACGAACGAGTCATGGCGGCAGGGAATAATAATATTAACAATGAAGAAGAGGCGGTGGGGTTGACTATTTGGAGATTACCGGGTGGTGGATATGCGGTTGGAAGATTTACAGGGGCAAGAAGTGGGGTGAGAGAATTGCCCGTGGTTTATACGGAAATGGACGGTGGTTTTAATAATGGAGGTTTGCCTAGGAGAATAACGTGGTCGACAAGAGGAGGGAGTAGCGGAAGAGGAAGAGAGAGCCGAGGTAGCGGTGGAGGTGGTGGTTGGTTTGGTCTGGGTAGGTCTATAAGGCATTGGTTTGCTTGTTTTGGTGGTGGCGGTGAAAGCTCAAATTCAGATTTGAGGAGTAGGGGTTTTTCGATTTTTAATAACAGTGCTTCTTCAAGAATAAGAAGATGGGATGGGGAGGTTAATGGTGGAAGAAGAAGAAGGTAAAATTTGGGGCAAAAATATTATAGTTTTCTTAATTTGTAAATATTACCATACTAGAAAGATTTTTTTTTTTTTTTAAATTGAAGTGGGAAGAAGTTAATTTAAATAAAGGGCAATCAGAAGAAAATGAATTGAGCATTTGGAGAGGAGCTAAGAGGTAACGAAACAAAGCTATCTATTTTAGTTTTTTTATGTATATTTTTTTGTAATTTTTAGTCAGAAGAGGCTTCTTTCCTTTTGCTGCAATTTTTTTCCTAGAAAATCTATGAAAAATTTCCAGTATTTAAAAGTTTGAAGCCTGGTGTTAGAGCTGTTGATTCTCTCACTGCCGCTGTTCTGCAGTCTGCTTTATCAATGAAAACGTGCAAATTTGGAAAAACTTCTGGGAATTATCATCAATTTTCAGTATAAAGTATATGATGTTATATAGAAGATTAATTTTTCTTCATCATAAACGATCTGCATGCGTACTTTATGATTATGAAGCCTCTCGAAATTTGATTGGAGGATAACTATGACTATAGCCTTTGGTAAATTTACTAAAGATGAAAATGTTGTGTTCTGATGATTTATGTTCTGATGTTATTCAAAGTTCACTGTATTTAATATGAACTATAATATGAGATGAGTGAAAAAATAAAGTGAAGCCATGGAGAGAATATCATACACCACCACCTCCGAGTATTAAAAAAGCTTGTGGAAGATATTAAAGCTAAAGTTTCATTTGTTTTCATAAAAATATTTTTGGCTGTTTGGGACGTTCAGAATCAAAGGAAAATTAAGTTTTTTTTTTCTTTTTTTTTTAGAAAAAGTTTTTTTTTTTTTTTAAGAAAAATAACTTTTCATTTTTTAGAAGCAAAATATTTTTCGATATTGATAAATATTATAAATTTATATTTTTTAATTTATTAATTATCATAATTATTACCAACAGTCACCATTTACCACCGATCACCATCATCATCGTCTACTACCGTCGGCTTTCATAATTTACATTTGTTTTTTTTGCAATTCTTTTGATATTTAAGAATAAAAATTTTAAATTATAAAATTTTTATTATTATTAATATTTCACCATTTTTACCACCGATCCACCATCATCATCTCTGCAGCTTACCTACAGCCAGCCCAAGAGACCGCACTGCGGGGATCTCCCAGGCAACATTCACTGCAACGACTGGTAAACGCAGTCTGGCGGTCACACCCGATGCCGCCATCCTATCCACATTCTCACACCGGTAGTAGGTGCTACCGTCGGCTTTCATTAATTAACATTTGTTTTTTTGCAAATTCCTTTTTGATATTAAAGAAATAAAAATTTTAAATTATAAAATTTTATATTATTAATATTTTTTTTATGGTCTTATGAGATAAAGATTTTAATATTTTTAACTAATTTTCAATATTACAATTAAATAATAAAAAATAAGACATTTATAGAATATTTTTCAAGTAAAATGTTTTCCATGAAAATATTTTTCAGCAAGTTATTTTCCAGCAAGTTAATTTACAGAATGGAGACTAAATTAGAATTTGGTGAAAGAAAAAACGACAATTATAGAAATGGAAAATATCTGTATATTAAATTTTTTATATATCTAGTCAATAATTGAATCTATTATTATTATTATTATTATTTTATCTTTAAATATATATTTAGTTAATAGTTGAAATTGGAGATGGTATATACATTCATCTCGTTAGATATTCATTCAAATTCGATTTAAACAGAATAGAAAAAAAAGAAACTCATTCATTTAAATAAGGTATAGACGAACATCTTACATTTAAATATGAGACAACTATTTAAATTTATTATATAAATCTTACATAAAAAAAATCTTTTTTCTATCCGGAATTCGGATAAATATCTTTTTGTGAGGTTAACGTTGCATTGGATATGGCCCAATAAAAGACGGCCAGCAAACCAAACCATACTTTTGGGCAAGTTGGCAACTTCTACAACAAAGCCTAGCATAGGGTAGAGTTGTCAATTGCTCCAATATTCTCACCGACTGATTTATTACTTTGCAAATTGATTCTTTCTGATCGATTTCTTCTTCTTGTTCTTATTATTCTTCTCATTACTATCATTATTTTATTCATTCCAATATCCGATGAATTGAAATAATAATATATTTCATATCATAGGAGATAATTTTTTTTAAATTCATCAAATTAATAAAAAATTTTATGATAAAATAATTCAAATTTGAGATTTCTATTCTTAACATTTTATAAACGCTTTTCTAATTGTTTATAAATAAAGGCCATAATTGATATAAAAAAAAATTTCATTCAAAGTATCAATTTCCGAAACTAAACAAATTGGCCAAAATTAAAAAAAATGTATAGTTTTCATTTGTAATTAGGGCCTAAATGAATAATAATATATTTATAAGTGACCAAATGGATATAACATTATGAAGTTAACAAAGTATCAAAAAAATCTATTCATTTAAGTGAAAAGTATGATTTTTAGTTATCACTTGAAAAAATCTTTTAAAACAGCTGTATAAATAATTGATTATTCAATCGATATATCAATAATTTAATAAAGCAGGCATTAGATATTCAACTTTTCGAATATGAACATTGAAAGTCTATCTTATTTGATTTGCAAAATAGAATAAAAATAAATAATTATTCTATAAAATCGGATATTTATTCTTTATTCGTCAAATCTTAAAAAGAGTTTATTGCATATAATAATTATTACATACTTAGAAATTTATTAAAATTTAAGGTTAAAATTTTTCTGTTCTATAAAATAGTTCTTCTATTTTTAAATTTAAATTAAAAACTATAAATATCTATTCATGAAATAACTAATTCTATTCTCTAGCTATTAAATATTATTCCTTGAATCAAATAAGGCAAAACGTTTATTATCAAATTCACATTATTTCGGACTGCTCCCTCCATTCCCAAATGCTAGTCAGATTTAAAATTTCACATTTTTTAAGAAAATCATTAAATTTATTTAAATCACAGTAAATTATTGTGTGAATTAAATATACTACTCTTAGTCCGTCTAAGTTACAATAAATTTTTGAGAAATCGAGCAATCAATATTGGTCATATACAATGGATAAAAATGAAAAAATAATAATTTATTAGTTATAAAAATTATAAATATAATAAATATTTGGGAACATAATACTTTATCAAATGTCACAAAGTATTTAGGAACTGGGTGAGTATTAGTTAATCTGTTTTTATTTATGTATAAGATGCTGGTTGTGAATGTATCATCACTCTCTCTCTCTCTCTCTTTGTTGACACCGGCCCATTAAGAGTATAAAATGACTATATGTAGATATAGTCCAACTTTACTGGGCCAACTATTGCGAGAAACTTTTATCCAGCCCACTAAGAAGAAGCAATCCACCTAGGAATTGGGCTAAAACATTCTGCAGAAGCCCAAAACAATTTAGGAATATACGCACTCAAATCAATTATTATCTGAAACAAGAGCTACGTATGAACATGCATGCATTATTGAGCTAGGAATGGATAAAATAATTAAGAAAAAAAATATAAAATATTTGTTCTTCATATAGGTACATAATTTATTAGTTCCTGATATGGGGTAGTTAAAACAGTTGAAACCTTCATTTCTTTTTCTTTAAATTTGTAAATTTCTACTTTAGTGTAACCATGCATCAATCTCATCAAGTTTGATTATTGTACTATGTTGTCGGTGTTATCTTCCATCAATTTATGATATTGTTATAATTTGAATTCTTAATTAATGTTTTAGAAGATATAAATTGATTAGGGCACGGAGATTTTGTTAAATTTTGGCTCGAAATCATAATCAAATTGAAATTATAACAAGTTTGAAATGGAACTAAAATTAAGTATGATATGATTGATTTTCTCACTTATGTAAAGAGTGCGAGGTCTGAGTCCTCTTAACTAAATGAGAAGTTATCCAAATTCTGTAGCCCCCTGCATCATTTCGGCCATGGAAACTCCAATGGAAAAAATAAAAGACTAGGACTAAACGAGGATAATGTTTGCACGTATACTTTTGAAATCAATAATTATTTGAGATCGGTATCATCTTAATATTTATAATTTTCATTTACAGAACAGTTAAATACACGTTCATTCATGCATCTATCTAAATTAAATGAACCTTGACATAATTTGATTTTTCATTAGTTTATTTTGTTTTATTCAAACGTGTATTAGCATTATTTAATTGTAAATTGTAATTAACTATGATATATGAACAATATTTTTTAATATTCAAATAAAAATTGATGCCCTAATAAAAGGGGTACCAAGTTGGACCATCTGTCGTCAAGGTCAACAATAAACAGGTTGGTAGGGACTAAAGTTTGGACATATTTGGATGAGTGTTTGTAAGATTGAAAGCAATGATATGGAGCCAATGTTTGTATACATTTAGTTCTCAAAACCTAATTTTAATCATGCTGGAGTGTTTCAAATGGTATGATGTATTTGAATTCAGCGAAAAAAATATGTGAAAATACTCATAAAAAATTCAAAGAAAGTTTTTAAATGCATATGAAATATAAACAGTATTTTGAGTTGTAAAAATTAAATACTTCCAAATAACAAAAAATCTATTTTATATATATATATATATATATTTCAGCGAAAAAAATAATTGTGACAATAACTCATATATATATACAAAAAATTCAATATATAGAAAGTTGTGTGTAAATGTCACGTATGAAATATTAAAACAGTATATTTGAGTTGTAAAAAAAATTAATACCTTCAAATAACAAAAAATCTATTTTATAGTATATATGCATATATATATATATATACATACCCATATTATATTTTTCCAAATTTTTAATATTATGCATCTTTTTTGTTTTCTTTGTTTGTGGAAATTTAAAAAATTATATAAAAAGTTATCATATCAGCCCAGCGAGGAGGAAGTAGAAAGGGAAAGCTGGTTGAAAGTGAAAATGAGAAGAGCAATTCACAGGGGGTCCAGGTGGGAGAAGTACCCAGAGTGATCTTAAAAGATTTTGAAGGCAAGATCAGGCTGCAATCAAAAAAGCTTTGGCGATCAAGCAGGGGGACCAAGGACCAGTTTAAAATGTATTAATTGTGAAATGAATGATATTTTCAAAAAGAGAGTTTTTCTTAATGATTGGAAGATCCTTATGTAGGTGAGCAGGAAATAGAAGGACTAATTATTATAATCTTAAAATAACAATTAGTAAATATTACCAAGATAATTTTTCAGCCTATAAATAGTTTACATATTTGTTTTTGAATTATATTAAAAAGCGATAAAATTTATTTAGACATCGGAGATTTTTTAAAGCCCCATTTATTGAACCAAACCGAGGTGGCGCCAGTATTATTATATATTTTAAAAAT